TACTTGAATTCATTATTATATTATCTATAATGCTTAGAACATAATCAATAATACAATCAAATGAACTTCAAATAAATCTTCTTCAAAGCTATTTTGTTGAATAAAGTTATATAAAGCATACAAAGTATAAACTATACGTATTTGAATTGTATATAGATATTTTTATTATTGTATTAGAAATAGAAAGCGCATTTTGAGTATTCCAAAAATTCTCTTAATTTCATTTTATAAAAAAGAGTATTGAAAGTTGAAAAGCTTTTCTAGTATTTTGGATATCTTATTAGATTCCAATTGCTTTTATAGATAATATCTTATTCTTTTGAATAGAATAAGAATCTGTCTAATATTTATATATTCTGCATTATCTAGATAATAATAATCTTCTGGAATTCGTAAACCTTTTAAAATCAAAGCATTTGAAAGCATCTTTTGATCATTTGCAGAATCTTTTTAATCGATTAATATATAGCAAAATTGTAAATTGAAAATAATTATTATAAGAATATTCTATGTAGTATACCCTTTTCGATAAAAATAAGTAGATCGATCTTTGAAAGGTATTATTGCTGGAATAAAGGTATATTAAGAGCTCCTAGATAATTCGCAAAATATATATGATATTTTTCATTTTCTATTATTCGAGAAAAGCGAATTATATAGTTGAATCCAGTAGCTTTACTACTAATAGGTATAATATCATTATAGCATCTAAAACTTAATAAAACTATTTTAAAATATATTAGAATAAACTAATAAGTAGATTTATATAAAGTGTTTTTTGTATCTATAAATTATTTCTTTAGAATAAGAAAAGACTTTAGCTATACTATATAGTTTTATATTAACCTATAATATAAAGAAATACATATAGTTTTTGATTAATTAAAATATATTAAGAATATTATAGCTTTGTTTTTTCATAATAAAACTTAATCAAAAGTTGAAAAGTATATAAGACATACACAATTATTCTTGATAATATTAAAAATGTTTAGAATCAAGAAGAGATTGTATTTTAAATTCACCAGGAATACCAGTTCTTTTTTTCGAAATTAGAGTACAATAAAAAGAGCCAATAACAGCAGCTAAATTATAAATCAAGATAGGAATAAACTATTCAGAATCATCAATCTCATCATCATTCATTATGAATAAGAAAAAGACAGTTTATAATCTAAATCATTAATAGAATCTAAAACTATAATAAAAAGAATATTGAAGAATCTACTTTTAAACTAAACTATATATATTCTAGTATATAGGGAATAGAAATATAAAGTAATTTTAATCGAAATCAGAAACGATTTGAAGAAAAATAAAGATACTTTATAAACTTAGATATTTGAAATACTAATATTATTATAATATTATATGAATATAAAATAAAAGGTCTATAAGAGCCTATAAAAATGCGAATTATTTATCAGATTGAAAACGAGGATTGCTTTTTCTAGTTCTTGTTTTTAATTCGCATTTTTGTTTTTCTATACAAATTTGATGAAAAACATGAATTATTTAGTATTATTTTAAAGTAATCCACCTTCTTCCTACCTCGAAATACATTAAATTTATTGAAATGCGGATTATTTGATGGAATTTGCGATTTGATATTCAAATATAAATTCAAAATCTACTTTCAAAAGAGCGGAATATTCAGTGGATCCAGTGCGGATTTGTACATCCAAACTAGCCCTAAGTCTATTAAGTTGGTTGATGACGCTGCGATGTGTTTGGTGTTTTGACTTACGAGTTGGTGATATGTGTGTTCGGCTGCAACTCATAACTCGAGAATATTGTGTGTTAAGTCTCTTGACTCAATCGACGATGTGGTGTGCTTGGTCCTGTAGACTAGTCGTGATTTGTATTTATTATACGATAGTCTCATTCATTATTATGATGAATTATCATCGCTTCGGACCGCTAATCCGTCCCTTGTACCTCGCACTAAGATAACAGATTTCTCGCCCCTCATCAAACTTGGCAGGGGAAAGTCAAGCGATCAATGAATCAGTTTGTGTTTATTATATTGAAATTCTGACTCGAAAATATAAGTATCAACCAACCGACAGCTTTTAAAATTCAACATATCGTCGTGTTGCTCAACATCTTTATATGATGATCAAAGGACATCCAACTACTACGACTGCGAGTGATCTTCTCTCTGAACAATTGCACTGTTACCAAAGATAGCTCCCGGTACAAATCTGTGCATTCTTAAATCTCCACTTTCCCATCTATGCCAAGATGTACCCCGGAGAATAATCCAGGACTCCTAGGATTCAGGAAGAACAATCTCGCAGATAAGAGATTCCAACAGACAATATAAAAGTATGCCTTCTACACAACACCGATGTCTGATGTATCGTCTGAAGATATCAATCTATCAGAGAGAATATTTATAGACATGTATCCTCGCTGTCTGGTTGTCTAAATGTTTCACTATCACATCCGCATCTCACGGCACCGATAATGATCCACGTTGGCTTCTCAGTGACATAAAATGACATCATGAATGTTCCACCACCATCAAAAACCAAGGTCAATAAATGTGCTTCGCAGTAGTAAGTACTAGGTAAGATGAAGGGATCATGACTTCCATGATACATTAATTCGTGGTAAATATATCAATTGACTTTCTTTTTCTATTCGTTCAATCTTTTATTCTTGTATTCTTTTTCTTCCTGTCTTCCCTCCATCTACATCGACAGTATCGATATCATAATTCAACATGGTAGGTCATCGAAGCCGCACAACAGGAAATGATAATGCACATGATGCCAAACAAAGTACCTATCTCCGCCGAGACGTAGAACAAGGCAGACCATCAAAAGATAGGAAATATAGATTTCGCGATCATGGACCATTGGAGCCAGATGATCGAAGGCGAGAAGAATTTAAGACGAAATTATTAGATGGAGTGAAAAGTTCGAGTTTGGAGGGCTTCCGCAAGAAAGATGAAGAGGTATGTTATTTTCCACTTTGTTTTATCCTCTCCACATACTCAAATATATCCATATATGTGCAAAATGGAACATCTCACTAATTCTTCCCACAGCTCAAGGAAATGCCAAAATCCGTCCGTAGCTTTTACGAAGAACAAAATAATCGTCTGGATGACTGGCTCGAAGTGAATGCTCTCGTTCAAGCCCTTGCAGATGATATCCTCGAATCCTTCGATCCGCGAGATGATAACGGAGACGGAGTTGCAGAAGGTGGTGGCGCATTACAAGATACCCAAGGATTTGTCGAACCTTTCTTACCAGATGCCGAACAAGAGAAACGTCAAAAAGCTCGAAGAAGCGCAAAATGGGCAATCAATATAAATGTTATCGCAAATATCATCTTGCTAGTTGCAAAGGCGGTGGCGGCTTTCTATTCCTCGTCTCTTTCTCTCATTGCTTCGTTGGTGGATTCCGCTCTTGATCTTTTGTGTACGGTTATTGTATTCACGACAAATCGATTGGTGCAGTGGCGATTGATGAGCTTGAAACGGAAATTTCCCGTGGGAAGAAAAAGATTGGAACCAATTGGGATTCTGGTCTTCTCAATCATCATGATTATTTCATTCCTGCAAATCCTTCAAGAATCTGCCCAGAAACTCATGTCCAAGGGTCCGCATGAAGCAAAGGAATTACCCGTTATTGCTATTGCGTCAATGGCTGGTACAATTGGTCTTAAGGGACTCATCTGGTTCGGATGTATCAGGATCAAAACTACTCAAGTACAAGCTTTAGCTCAAGGTATGTATATCTAGATTCCTAAACTATCTCAACACAAAGATACAATCCCACTCACTAACATGAATTAAAGACTGCAAAACCGACGTCGTCTTCAACACACTCTCCCTCATCTTCCCCTACATCGGCCACGCCGCCAATCTCTGGTGGCTCGACCCCCTCGGCGCCGGACTCCTCTCCCTCTTCATCATCTACGACTGGGCATCCACCTGTCTCGAAAACATCTTCCGCCTCACCGGTTCCGCCGTCGACGATCGTCTGCAGCAAAAACTCACATTTCTCGCGTGGCGCTTTGCCCCTCTCGTCAACGGATACAAAAGCATCACGGCGTATCATGCGGGCGATGGGGTGTGGGTCGAAGTCGATATTTTGTTGTCCGAGGGAACGACGCTCGAGGAGGCTCACGATGTCGCGGAAACGTTGCAGTATTGTTGTGAGGGCTTGCCAGAGGTGGATAGAGCGTTTGTCACGTGTGATTATGCGGTTCAGGGACCGTCGGGGCATGCGATGGAGGGGATTAATTGAAAATGAGGGGTAGGGAGATGGAATTCTTGCGTTCTTGAGTAGAGGGAGATAGATGCAGGGGAGGTGTGATGGATGAATTGGGAATGTTGAATAGAAATACTGGGATTGGGATTGAGAAAGGAAAGAAATTAAAAGAAGAAGAGATGATATGATGATTTGAGGGGAAAATCTGGCAGTCGAATGGACATCAAGATATAATGATGAGATGGATAAAATGCTTTTTTTTTCATATAGGAACAGGATACTTGGGCTTTTAGGCGCATTCGGGCATGGGGTGGCAGCGGAGTATAGTGTAGATGGCGTTTTTCATTTTTAAAGGGTAGCATATATAAAGTTATTAGTTGAGTATAAGAAAATAGGAATATTAATATTTACTCTGTAATAGGGATATAAATCAGAATAAAAGTTATAAAGTTCATTATCAGTATTCTTTATATCTTCATCTACATCTACCTCTACATCTAAATATTATCACAACTCATCTTTCTCATTTTTATTTCCACATCCACAACTACCTTCTCCCCCCTCTCCCTCTCCCTCTCCCTCTCCCTCTCCCTTTTCTTTCTCCTCGCCACTTAACCCCGACCCAAACCCCCTCCTCCAACTCCAATGTCCCCTCACCCCTCCCCTCACCCTCACCCACCTCCTCATCTCTCTCACCCCCTCCCCCCTCCACCCCTCACTCCCCCCCAACGCCTCCACCGCCCTCTCCACATACAACCTCGTCTCCCACTCCCTCCCCAGCACACTATACGCCAACGCCGCACTGCGATATCCATCTCCGACATGACTCTGCAGTCCCTCCATCCCATACAATTCAATCAGATACAGCGATTTCGCGAGGAAATCCGCCGGGGGAGATAGGGATGAGGAATTGTATTCGAGAGACGATTGGAGGGAGAGGATCGTGAGGATGCGATGGTTGGAGTGCTGGCGTTGGGGGGTGGGCTGCAGACAGTGGGGACAGGTGCAGTGGAAGCCCCAGGAGTGGTGGAGGGCAGAGCGGCGCGAACCAGAGGGGATGAGGGGGTTGGTGTCTATGGAGAATTGTTAGCGTGCTTCTTTTTGGAGCATTGAAATCTTTCATGTGAGTTTTCGGAATAGCGGAAATATCGAGGGGGGAAATGGGGATACGTACATGTAATAGTGATTTCCTCCCCCGCCGCAATCTCCCGCCCCGCAACCGTGTAATGTATTAGTGTTCTTGCGTCGAAGTAATAATTCGCATTAGGTCTACAATCGTGATTTAATCGCGCGGTTTCAGGAACAACAATGCTGTGTTCTTGGCCGAGGAAGTCTTCTCCGAAGGTATTGGTGTTGAGACGGCCGATGATGCCTTCGCCGTTGTGGAGCTGGCGGTGCGGTTCGTGCGCTGCGAGGGAATAGAGGTGATTTGAGGTGGAAGGGGGAAGTTGGGTGGCGGAGAGGGAGAAGAGAGATGTGTTGTTTAGAGAGAGAGAGGAGGAGTTGTGGGATCGGGGAAATGCGGAGTTGTGGTAGATTCCGATGGTGGGATAGGCGAAGAGGATGGTGCCGCGTTTGATGGGGCGGGTGGCTATTACGCCCATTCCTCTGCCGGGAAGTTGGCGGGTTTCAAAGGGTGCAGGGTTTGAGGAGTTGTAGAGGGGTTGGAAGGAGAGTGAGGAGGTGAAGGCGGGGAGGGAGGCGATTTTGGAGGCGATCTTTGGGGTGGTGAGGAGAGAGATGCCGCGGCCTGAGGCGAAGGTTGTGGATGTGTAGACGCAGAATTGAGGAGTTTTAGGGGAGGCGGAGGTTATGTTGGAACAAACGGGTGGGTAATGCCATGGTGAAGGTGTTGATGATGTGGATAAAGTTGTACTGGATTCATTGCTGTTGATGGAGAGAAGCTGTGAGGATTTACTTGGGTAATGTTTGTTCCGCGATAATTCGAGATTTGAAGGACATATAGAATATGAAGACGAGAGAATGGAACTCGAACATTGTGCATGTGATATAGAATCTAGGATATCGAATTGAACACTTGCTTTCGCATTTGAGAATGCTATGAATGATGTTATCGCAATGAGTGATGAAGAATGCATTTTGTATGTTTAAAAATCAATCAACCAATTGAAAAAGAAAAAGAAAGGCCGGGTACAAAAATGTATCTATACATAATACACGACAATATATCGAACTCCTTCATTCAAAACATCTCAAACTGTCAATTCGTCGGTCCCGATGTCAAAGGTCTGTTCTGCCAGTCTCACAGGGCTGAAGAAGTATATCTTGTGAGAAATGAAACATCAATGCGGGAACCAAAGATCGTGACTTTCCGTCAAAGGTTTCCAGATGCCCAGACTTTGACAATCGACTGAGCTTTTAGTATTCGTACAATATAGTTTCATACTGTTTGTTCCTGAATTGGCGAAACTTGAGCCACGTCTTGGATACTGAGAATTCTCATTTCAGAACACTAGCTCTGATTTTCAATGAAAGTTCTCGGAACAAGCTGCCCTAGGTATGTGTCTGTTGTCTTTCATATATCAATGCGTAAAGCTTGTTTTTAGCTGGTGAGGAGAATCGAGACTTTCTCAATTGATTGTGAATCAAGGATGAAGTTTGAGATGAAGACGTGGGAAAACTTGAGACGGTCAAAGCAATACGGGGTGAGAATAAGAGGATCCGTGGGGAAAGCATTCTTTCATACTGAATGAGTGGAAATCATTACAACTTTCCATACAAACAGTCTGCCTCCACGGCAGTGGCCCTCGGGGAGCCAGCGGAGCGTCATTAGTTATTTCTATCATGAATCTTCTTCTGATACAATTGATTGTTCGATATTCGGGGTAAAGGCACCATATTCAAACTGGTCTGGAGCACAGTCATTTTTATCGAATGATAAGGTTAATACTTTAACAACTAGGTTAAGGTACGGTATAGATAATAGATAATTGAAATAAGAAATGTAAAGGGAACGAAAGACGGTGAGGTTTATAAGAATCAATTTTTGTGTTGGATGGAACGAGATGGGGTAAGATGGTATGAGATGGGATATATTTAATTTTTGTCAAGATGTCACGAGTATATTTAAGCTTCCATGACGATACCATTTTCTTTGCTTAGGTCACCACTCAAATTCCTACTCGTCAACTTTTCTTTATCATGAAGTTGGAATAAACTACAAAAGAAATAAATTCCTACGAGATATGTAAATGATATCAATGTATCGTCATTCGATTAAATCAGCAGCAGTCTTCCGAAAAATTATAAAACCTTCTTATACCATTCAAAGTCTTGCCTGTACCAGAACAATGACCAGCAATTCCTCGCCAACGTTCCTTCTACCAAAGATTACACCACTTCCTCGATCCCTCTATCCAACAACATTCAATTTTACCCCTTCAGATTTCCATCGACAAGATGAATCTCCAGATACAGAATGGTATTCTCAACCAAGATTTGTTCAACACATTGATGATGGCGCTATATCCATGTTGAAACACTACTATGCGACCTTCATCACGCCCAAATCATCTGTTCTGGATATCTGTTCATCATGGGTTTCGCATTTACCTTCATCACTCAAACCAATCACCATGATAGGAATTGGGATGAACGAAGCAGAATTACAGAGAAATGAACATCTTACCAAGTATTTTGTCAAAGATTTGAATCTTGACCCGAAATTGGAGGGGGTTGAGAATGATTCTATGGATGTGGTGATGTGCAATGTATCGGTGGATTATCTGACTCAACCGATCAAAGTTTTTGAGGAGATGCATAGAGTGTTGAAAGAGGGAGGGGAAGCTCATATGGCGTTTAGTAATCGATGTTTTCCAACAAAGGTGGTGGGGAAATGGATGAGGATGGATGATGAAGAGAGGAGGAAATGGGTGGGAGGATATTTTTGGGCAAGTGAGGGATGGGAGGATGTTGAAGAGGTGGTATTGAAGGAGGGGGTGGGAGTGGATTCTTGGGATTGAGAGGATATGAAGACCCGGTGTTTTGTTGTGAGAGGGAGGAAGATGAGACGGGCTTGAGAGGGGGGAGGTGGAGGTGTCTTGATAGGTGCACGTGGAGGATGTAGAAGGTGTGGAGAGTGTAGATTTGACAGTTAAGTGTGATAGAGAAGAATCAACAATGATTTTAGGACATGAAGATCTGGTCTTCGAGGTGTGGGAGGAAGAGGTATGGATATATGAGGCGGTCTGGGGTGAGGGGCTGTAGATCAGTCGATATTGATGGTGTGAATGGTGTAGCTTAACAAAGGTTCATGATAGAACCTACTGGATAATAGTATTGAGGAATGAAGACGATTCATCTTGACATACAGGAAGACAAGAAGGAATGCCTAGTAGATGCAGTAGATGCTCTACATACGAACGGAGCATCCGGAGTATCGGGACCGAGATACAATCTGAAAGGTCGAAAATTAAGGAGGATGTAAGATTCCGAGTTCTTGATGGTGATTGATGGATTTCCGGGTGAGCTTCGGAAATGGTTCGTTCACGTTATCATTTGAAGGCGGGCCAGGGGTTGAAACACCGATGAAAATTGAGTTTATAATTTGTCTCGATAAATAAGATGCATTGTCTCATTGTTTCATCATCTACGTATTCGAAGATTTCCAATTTATTCCATTCATCCACTCGTCCATTCATTTGACGATGCTATTCTGGGCATGAATGGTTGTCGTTGGCAGCTGGAGAGATATCATGTCAAGGCCAGAATATGTATATGTATATGGATCCACGTGCACTTTCCAGCATGCTGGCACGTGGCTGGTAATAAATGCCCAACTGGATTCCTCCACACAAAACCACACGGAACCATCCATACACAACATTTACACAACATTTGTCAGACAACATTGACAGCATTGACAACAAGAATGGGCTCATCGCATAGAATTCAATGACTTGATCGACGACTTGATCATTTCAAATAACTGTCTGGCTGCAGTTTCTCTCAATCTCTTCGTTCTATCATGTCTTAATAATGTGCTTACATTTTCGGTAACTATACTGGGCGAGAATTTAACCTTAACCTTGCCGTCGTCAAATCCTTCTCTTGCCATGTTACATTCGCAGGAAGCATGCACGATATTCTATTTCCACGTATTCGAATCTGAAACTACTTGATTTCCTAATGATCAAGTAATGATTGATATAAAATCATGATTCTCTGGGGGCTACGCCACCTCCATAATTCAGCCATACTTGCAATTTCCACCGTTATCGTCTTGTCAACATCGGATGGGTTCACCCATTTCTCCAATTTCGTGTTCAAGCTTACACTATGCCTTATGAACTTTACAAAGTTTCACATATATGGATACGAAGACTGAATCTGTACCAAAATCAATACTTACCAGCCAAAGAAACTTTCGCTTACAACTCGTCGTCGTGCTTTTAATCAATTAGAGTTTTCGAAAGTGGATGGGAAGTCGAGACTTCGATCGATTCGGAATATATTCAAGAGCAAATACCCTCAAAATTAAGCTCCTGAATTTTCGAATCACGCACATGAGAGGGTCTCTAGAAGACCCTTTGCTTTAGATTGCGCTGGTCGCGGAATATAATTCACCTTTGTGTAATTCACTTTTTCATGACCACAAACTTTACTATTCGGTCGTTATGGCAGGCCAGAGGACTTCTTATCCCATGAGTTCTAATCAACATCTGCCTATGTCCAATCACAATCACGAGGCCTCAGATTCGCAGGATGTTATCGAAATGAAGGATCAAAGAAACGAATCGCATTATCTTCCTAAAACAGACCGCGATCAAGAATCCTCATATACTTTCCATACGATCGAAATGGAGGACCAAAGAATCGAATTGCATGACTCTTCCAAGACAAATCATGATCAAGAAACTTCATATGCTTTCCATACAATCGATATGGAAGACGAAGAAAAAAGACCATATCCCGTTCGAATGGATTCGCTACAATCAGCTCATTCTACGAAATCCGGGCATTCCAATACTGGGAGAAGTCATTCAACAATCAGACCATTCGACACACAGGAAGAGGACTTGGTGGGAGATTCGGAACCAAGTCACCATCACCAACATCATGATGGTATTTTCTGGCGCTCACCAATTTTGATGGGTGGGAATTTATTTATTGGAATCATCGCTAGTATTGCTCATCATGTATTTTATAGTCGCATGGTAGGAAAACAAGTTGGAGATGATTTTTCTCAACAGTGGACTTTGAGGTAAGTTCTTCTAGTTGCATCGACATCTCTCAGCAACACTTCTCAATTCTTACCCTTTATTTCTCAACCTTCATTTCCTATTTCTCATGTCTGCCATAATAACAACTGGATTAACACAAAAACTTAGATATGGAACAACCTTTGCTTTTGTTTCACAAGTATGTCTCGTCAGCTCAGTTGGATTTGCTTATACACAATGGCTTTGGAAATCTTTGTACCATAAGGATACTAAAGTTTCCGTTAACTGTCTCGATGCTGCTTTCGTTGCCGATACATCTGTTTTATCAATTTTGAATACAGAAATGCTTTGGAAGCTTAAGCTGGGATCTTTAATTGCGATAGCTGCATGGTTAGTCTATTTTGATTTTGTTATGTGTGGCATATTTCAATGTTACTTGAGTCTGCTATATCTCATCAGCTTTGCCGTCTCTTCGATCTGAACTTGAGGAGTGAAGCCACGAAATTGTGGCCGGCTATCATGAAAGTTTTGTACTCATTCTAATACAGGTGTCTACCCATTGGCTCTCTGCTTACTCCCGGTACACTCTACGTTGTACCCAGCACCAAATCCATTCATACATACGCCAATGTCTCTTCCCTCGATATGTATGGTCATGATCAACCTGCAAGATTTACATACTCAGCGCCTGTAAATGTTACAGATGGTGTACAAAATGAACTATTTCTTGGCCCACGAACGATCATTACACGTTTGTCAACGGCCACTGCAACGCAAGGAGAAATTCTTCCAATAAATGCACCCTTCTCGAATGCAACATATGATGTACAGTTTTACGGACCTATTGTCAAATGTAACGAGGCTGATTCAACTACTGCTACGATCATACAAAATCTTCGAGATGAATCTATCGCCAACATCACCGGATCGGTTACAGAAGTATCAAATTATTACTACGCTTTTGTTCCTAACCTGGGAAATTATGACAATAGCTCATTGCCCAACCACGGCGTTACAGTAATCCCTCAAGCCCGACTTCAACAACCTCAGAATGCTTCAAATCAACTCTGGATGGGCTATTCAAGATACACTCGATCAAAATCCTTTCAAACAGAAAATCACTACACAATTTGTACGCTCTACAACGCATCATACGATATCAACATTAATTTCGAAGAAGGAATCCAAACCGTCACATCCAAATCCCTCTCCGTCCTTAATCCAGTTCCTTATCCCGATATGAACACTCCCCTCTCCAACTCCCTCATGGTTCAACATGCATACTCAGCTTACATGTGGTCAATTGCAGATCTGATGGTTGGCACAATGGGTATTTTCCAAGCTGAACCTTCAGCTCCCGGTCTTCCATCTACGTATTTCTCGGAAATCACAACGCAGATCGCTCATACATCCTTGCTTGGTAGCTCAGATTTGGATGCGTTTTTTGAAAGAAAGAGTAATGACCCTTTGAGAAACAATAACACGGCGGTTAGTGATCAGAGGGCGCAGGATATTAGTTTAGCGGGAAATGCGACTCTAGAAGAGTTGGTGGAGGAATTAGCCTGGAATGTTACGTGTGGATTTTTGAATAGCAATTTATTGTCGTATGTTTTCCTTTCATTATTCTCATCAGACTTCTATCAGAGAGAAGAAATGCTAACCAACATATACAGCCCTTCCGTGAATACTTCAGTCCTCTCCACAATGTCCATAAACATATACGCCTACCATTCCTCAACTCTTCTCCTCTCCTACGGAATAGCAATATTCGTAGCACTTATCGCGAATTCTCTGGGCGCATACGCGTATCATATTAACGGACGTTCGCATAATAAAAGTTTCTCGGCCATCCTGGCAGCAACGAGGGATAGCGAGTTTGGAAGACTATTACCAGGGGGAGTGAGAGGGAAGATTCCATTGCCGGAATGGGTGTTGGAGACACAGTTAAGATTTGTGGATGTGGACGGCGGTGGAGTTGATGAGTGTGGGATGGGTGGGAAGAAGGGAGGAGGGAGGAGAGTTTAGAGTTGTGGGGATGAGGAAAGGGCATGAGGCCAGAAGGGGAATGATCCCGGGGGGATGTTTTCGGAGAGTTAATGGATTATGACTCGGGATTGGTATGCATGGCGATTTGAAATTTGGATTTTGAAGTTTTTCAGCGTTGGAGTTGGGGTTGGGAGGTGGAAATATTAAGTATAGTATCCTGGGGACTTTGATACTTACACAAGAGCTATAGGAGTTGATATTTGGATCGTCTAGACGGATAGATAGATTTAATTTGTGATTATGTAATGATTTCCAATGACTGATTATTTGTACTCTTGTCAAAGTTCTTATCAGTATTCATTATCATCTATGTCACCTGCGAATATTCCGAATCATATCACGTCACATCACATCACATCCTACAATCCAACCACCTCAAATATAATATCCCAATTTCTCATATTCAATTAAATAAAACCCCATTCAGAGGCACCAGATCCTCCCATGTACCAAGCAACGCAAAACGCAAAGTCTCCGCCTGCCTGGTATCATGAAAATAACATCTTCCCCAAACTCCCAAATACAGTAACCCCATCCTATCGAATTCAGCATTTTCAAGGCAAAAAACATCATTGTTCATGCACTCCCCAATTCATCAAATTTCCTTCCTTCCTTCCTTTCTTTCCCTTTCATAAAACTAAAATTAAATTAAAACCTATATAGTTTTTAAGAGTACATATGCATATGGATACGATGAAGTGGAAAGAGGGTTTATCGGTCAAAGTATTCCGTCTCTTCTGAAGATCTCTGGCTGAGAAAGATGCTGGGTTTCTTGATTGAATTGCTAATTGTGATGATCTGAGTTTTTGGATTTGGTGTTTTCGGAGAATGTTGTTATTTATTCAATTGTTAGAATACGTAGGATTGTTCGCAGAAGAAAATGAAAATGAAATTAAAATGAAAATACAATGAAAATAAAACCCCATCCACCATTCATTCCATCGTTCAAAGTAATCCTTCTCTCCTCAAGATTTCCTTCTGAGAAAGATGCCAAACTTCTTGATCAAATTCCCAATCGCAGTAACCCAAGTTTTTTGATTCCAGTACTTCCAAAGAATCTTAATCTTGATCCAATCCCCAGAACACTTCGAACACTTCGAATCCTCGAAGAATGGAAATGAAAATGAAAATAAAACCCCATCCACCACCCATTCCTTCATTCAAAGTAATCCCTCTCTCTTCAAAATCTCCTCCTGAGAAAGCTGTCGCGCATCCTCATCAAACCCCTCCTCTCCCTCCTCCTCTCCACACCCCTCTTCAATCGGGCTCAAAAGCGTCGTACTCATTTCTCCTCTCCTAATCTCCTCATCCACAATCTCTCTCTCCTCTCCCGCAACCTCACCATCTCCTCCATCCTGCTCCTGCTCCTGCTCCTGCTCCGCATCCTCAAACCCATCAACCGCATGCGTAATCGGACACTTTGGTCCCCCCAATACATTCTCCATATCGTCGAATACAAACCAGCGTGCGCCAACCCCCGCACTGCTAATTTCCTCTTGGCCCCAGCCGCCGTCTACGAAATCAGGGTGGGGTTCGCCGTTTGCGCCCCAGATGTAGGGTTCTTCTTCTTCTTCTGCTTCTCCATCCTCAATATCTTCATCTCCCTCATCATCTTCATCTTCATCTTCATCTTCCCCCTCCACCGCACACTCCCTCAACCCCTCAATCTCCTCATCCAGTTTGTCACTCCTCCACTTTCTCACTTTCACAATGACTTCGAAATCTTTCACCAACTGCGCCAAAAACCCATCGATCTCGTCGGGTTTTAAGAAATCTTCCTTGAGTGTTGGTGCGAGGGTAGCGCGGATATCGTCCATAGGAGCAGTGCTGAACCATCCAACGGGTTTCATTGTGAGGTCTCGGACGGGGAAAGGAACAGAGGGACCGCAGTGAGGAGAGGACAGGGAGGAAGAGCGTGTGGGGCGGGTGAAGGAATGAGGGAAAGCAGAGAGAGCGGGAAGTTTTCCTCGTTGCACGGCGCTTATTACGCGTGGGTTTCTGGTCTTGGAGAGTCGGGAGGGAGGGTGAGGGGTTCCTGGATGGTGGATTGGGTTTGGAATGGAGATGCGGTGTTATTGGTTTCGTTACCATCATCACCAGCGGAGTGAGAAGGAGCAAGAATAGTAGAAGTAGAAGAGCCCGCAACAAAAGGTAAATCCTCACTCTTCACCCCCATTTCCCTCAACATCTGCTGGATTTCCTCGGGTGTCTTCTTCACCATGCCTGTTGGCGCACCGATCTGCATTTCTTTCCCTCCTCTCGCATCTCTCTTATCCTTCGAAAATGCACCCGGCATCGCAGGAAAATTGCCAAATCCAAAAGATGACGAAGATGAAGGTGCGGTTTTCGGTCTTGTGGGTTCATCTGCCGAGTCGTCACAAGTGGAGAGTGGGGAAGATCCAGATCCAGATCCAGAAGTGAAGAGGGTGGAATGAGAAGATTTTTTTTGAAGCAGTAAGCTGGGTTTCGGGGAGATGCTGTGGGTATGTATTCGCAGGGTGGAAAATGCTTTTTGCATTTTTTGATGCGCGAGAGTGAGGTTGAAGCGGTGTTTTCGGGGTGGGGAGGTGGGGTTGGAGGGGAGGATGGAGGACGAGGTTTGAGAGGGATGCGAGGAGGTGAGTGAGAGGGTGTCGGTTTCGTGCGCGAAAGTTACGTGGCGGAGACCGCTGGGGCGGGAGGAGTTGAACATGGTGGATGAGGAGGAGGAGGGAATGGTTGGGATGGGGGGTGGTGCGGTTAGAGGGTGAGGAGGCATTGCTGGGAGAACTCGAGAATAGCGATCTGTGCGACTGATGGCGCCATCGCGATTTGGGGCGTATTCTTGTAGCTCGGAGATGGGAGAGATGGTTGATGGAGCTGAGAGATCGGGAGAGGTGGCGGAGCGAGAAAGTTGGGGGGGAGCCATGGTGATGCGAGGTTGGTGGAAGAGAGAGGTTGGGGAAGGTGAGGAGATTATATAGTGGGAGATTTGTGGGGTTTCGGTAGAGGAGCGCGGGTCGGGGATTAGATTTGCCGGGTAGTGAATATCGTCGAGGCTGCCGTCTAGTGAAGCGCGGAGGACGGTATCCTCGCTCAGTTCGGGGACTGAGGCGGGGATATTGTGTCCGGCTAGGTAGGATAATGGAGGAGGTGGTCTAGGAGGAGAGAGGGGGGGGGGGAAGAGGGCGGGAGAAATCTGATGGGATGTCAGTGAATTTGAAGAGGCAATTGTTCGGGCGGAATTGGTTACTTGGGGAGTTGGGAGAGTACATTTTTCTGTTTTAGCATGTTAGTATATGGATCAAGTTAGATCCTTGTGTACTATCGTCGAAGTATGATAAGTTGGGAGAAGTAGATCAGAAACAGAGAATAGTAAAAGATCCTACAAATCTTTGTCTACCTGTGCAAGTAGTAGAGAACTTTCAATAAGAGGGGACATTTTGACACAACTCTCGTCGAAGCATGATAGATTCAAAGAGCTAGAGAACAAGATAGAACAAAGTCAAAGACCTCAAAATATCCATATACATCTACGAAGAGTAGAGAACTTAAAGTTGAAACTTTAACAATAGAACTACTATTGTCGAAGCATGACAAGCTGGAAGAATCAAGGTATGTGAGATAATGCTGATGAACATGAGAAATAGCTTTCTACTGAGAAAGTTTAAGAAAGTTCAAGAATTTGAAAACATATTTGAACTACTCTCATGGAGTGTGATTTGCCAGAGAAGCTATGAGTTGAATAACAGGCAAAAGTACCTAACCATACTACTCTCATCAAAGTATCCTAAGTTGGAAGATAGAAAAGAAACAAAAGTAGGTAACAATAGAAGGAAAAATAGAGACCCAGTCCACTTTGATCACATCATCTAGTAGTAGAAGATGATGAAAGAAAAACCACAAGAGTATTACTTTCATCAAAATATAATGGATGAAAGACCAAAAAACCCAGTAATATCAATTCAAACCAGTCTTCAACCTGTTCCTAGATTCAAACGAGAAGTTTGGAGTCTCATAGAGAAGAGTTATATAACGATAGAAACAATCTCAAACTCTTTCAATAATATGTACCAAAAATATCACCTAGAAATAGAAGAGTATAACAAACTCACCCAGTAAACAATTCCAAACCACCAAAACAACTCTAAACAACCAGAATATCAGTCTCTAAAGACTGATAAGAACCTAAAATATGGCGCAAGCTAATGCAATAGAAGTGGTTGATATCACAGTCGTTGTGTTGAAAGTGCGTTATGGTTGTGATTACTCAAGAAAGAAAGAAAGAAGAAACAAAATCTCCCCCACAAAATTCCCTCTGGTGCGGTAATTTGAAGGGTAAAAGCGGCTGAGCACTTACTTAAACAAGGCTGAGGTGGAGGTGATTAGTTAGAATTGATTATTTAGTTCTCAGCACTGGGATTTAATTGGAATATTGGGTTTGTGCAGGGAAAATAGGATGGGAGTGAGTTTACAAGGAATAGAGGTTATTATTCATTGATTAGATGGTTGAGTATTTATGAAATTATTATATTAGAGATTAGATTGCTATTTTGAATGTAATTCAGGTTCTAGAAAGTTGTTTTTCATTGTTTGGAAGGGGGTTGAAATAGTTGTCTGGTTTCTTCAGCTTGACAACTCGGGTAATGTGATCACGTGTAAGGGGTATTATTGTGGACTTTGTTGACACTTATCAATACGAGAGTAGGATTATATCAAAACTGGTTGTCTTTTTGAGTAACTATATATTTTCGTTATGAACTCATCACGTCTTCAAATGAGATGTGAAGTATGTAAGGTTATATTCCAGATATAGCAAATGTAGAAGCAGAAAATAGCTTTTGAAATAACGGAACCACTCAAATGAAGTAGATTAGAATTGGAGGATAATGAATGACCAGTGAGCTCATAATGTATCATCAAATCAACTAAACTGATCTATGTAAGAAAAATCAATTTTACTAATAGAAATGATAACCTGATCAAAATTTGTTGAAATTATACTAATTCTATGTCCAGGAGCATAGAATCGATGGGTTTTGACTGTATAGATGAATTGACTTAACTACGATTCTCATTTGTACAAATATTAAGCTAAAGTCAAAAATAGAATTTCGATTCCGGTATTGAGTCTCACGAAGCATGAATAGCTCATATCGAAACGTGTAAATAAAATGATCTGAAGTGTTAAAAATCTGCATAACACTATGATCTCTAAATAACAGTATTGAGGAAATTCCTCCTTATAATACACTTTTTGAAACTTCCTCTCTAAGCCTCGAGCATCAAGCATGAATCATTTTTTGATGACGATACTCCCGAATATGTCACAAATGCGCATAAAATTCGATGATACATCACTTCCTCTGACCATCAATCCTGCATTCTAAAGCACAGAAATATCAATATACTGTATTTACATAAGGCGCGAATCACAAAGGGGCCAGTCATCTCTCGGGTCAGGGATTACATCAATAGAATAATTTAATCTCTCATTTTCCAAACAGTATATTGATTTCATGGGTACATTTTTGCCATCTTGTGTGACAGAAACATTCTGACGTACCCATTCTCTAACAATTTTCAAGCGCAAGATTCTACCATCTCTAGAGTCGCCAATCTTAGAGAATTTTGATTTCGTATTTGAATTGTCAATAATTTAGTTCTAGTTCTCTTTTCCGCAATCAAAGTTCTTATTAAAATTGCAATTCAATGTGTCTACTTATTTTCCTTGGGAAATTATGATAAGAATGAGTGAGCTCTCTCGATATACTAGTAAGCATATGTGGTTGGCTTGTGAATGCCAAGTTCGTCTGTGAGTATGGTATTAGCCTCTGGAGGAAGGTTGTATTGTATTTCGCTGTGTAAATGATTATAGGTGTAGAGGATATAATGAGGAGGAATGTAATGATAGCATGTTGGGTATTCAAGTATCAAAGGTGTATGCTTTTTTCGTAAAGGAAGTTGGTGATACCTATGATTTTAGGTCCGGAACCTTATTGATCTGGTTCGAGCGATCTTGAAGACTCAGTGGGTAGCGGAATAATGAAAATCGAAATGAGATGTGTAAGACATATATTCATTTTACTGACGAAAAGGCAAATTACAAAATTAGCGGTTGACACGCTGTAGATAGCATAACAAAGAAACTCTTTACCCTCAGATCACGAAACATTTCTCCAAACATTGAATAACAAATCCCAAGCATCCCATCAAACCAAAAAGATATCCCTCATCGCCCTATTGCTATCCTTCCCATCCTCAACCAAAAACTCCACTCTCGGCCCTATATGTTCATGATTCCATTCCTCACCCCCATCCTCCTCCCACTCCTCTCCCACTCCCGTACCTTTCCATCCAAAAGGTACCAATCCATGTACTCCCCACTGCAACCAATTTCTGCCGGGGCCCGGCCCAGTCATCCGAGGTCCCGTGAATCCATTAATCAGCGGTTGGAAAAACTGTTCTCGGGCATTAACCATCATATAATCCCACCCATCTCGCATGTGATCTCCTTGACTATGAAAGCGGTCTTTGTAAGTTTCAAAACATTTATTTCTGATATAAGGCGAGGGAGTCGTGAACTTGAGGACTTTGGAGGTAGACGCTGCGGCGTGGGTGCCATGTACTTTCCCATTTCGTAGTGATCTCTTCTCCCCCTTTGCTTCAGATACGAAAACAATTCTTCGTATTCCGTAGAAATCCTTACTCAATCCCCCCCAGCAGGAATGATGTCTCTTCACTGGAATATCAAAGCTGAATCCGATGTTTCTCAATTCTTTCCTTACATCCATGTCCCCAAATAACAGACGAAGCGCATCATTCACGGGAAACAAAAGGTCTGAGCAAGGTTGAAAAAACTGTGGCTCGTATATAAGACGATCTTCCAAATCTGCATGTGTATTTGACATTGGGAAATGTTGATTCCCCGTTTTGTCAAAAATATCATGATTTGTAAAATAAACGACATCCTTCTTGAGATTAATGTAGATGCCTGTTGCTTCATCGCTGTACGTGGATGGTGCACTGAGTCGAACGCCCATGGCGTTGATCTTATCTTGATGACCAGGTTTATTGGACATGCTCACAAGCTCATAGATAGGTAGAGCTAGTGAGCGAGAGATGGAACAGACATGCAATAGCGGAGGTATGACAGAAATGGGTGTCAGAAAGAGAGGAGTCTTATTCTTCATTCCATTGTACCTTTGACTCGAGCAACCAGGCGTCCAATGAACAACAATTGGTATGACACGCGATTCATCAGTTGCAGATCTGGCGGCAAGCTTCCAAATCTCTGTTTGAATCTCGACTGGAAGCAGTGCAAATTGGTGAAATGTAGTGGGGGCCATGATCTGCTCCGAATTTGAGGGCAAGGTATTTTTCATGTGCAAATTATGGCATTGGCTACAATTTTTGCTTGGCAGTCGAGTATATTCTACACTCTGTGTTGGCGGAAGCACGGTCCTGTAGCAACAAATTTTTCCCATCAGCGGCCTGCGAGGAGTGCGAGGAGTGCGTGGTACTGTGTATTTGCGGGCGGTCCTTTTCCGTCTTGGCATTGGAAATTGATGGTTAAGAGGATAATCTGCAAGGTGATGATGAAGAGAAAGTGTAAGCGAAGAAGATGGAGGTTGTAGGTAATTTATATCATCCGGGAAAGTTTAGCGAGCGGCACAGCCACGAAACGGAGAAACACGTGATAATCTATCAACACAGGACTGCTCTCCCAAATCAGGGAATTACTAATGGCTCCCAGTCAACATCATCCGATATCGTTGTATAGGAAGGAGGATTCGATATCCAGGGTTTAAGAAGTTCGTTTGATCTATAGACAAAAGATAAATAACCGGGCCCCAACTATTAAGTAAACTCCATCATAACTCATCACATCTGTCAATATAAAGACTAACATTGCCTACCATCATATTATGCTCAGATCGCCCTTCGACTCTTTCTCCTTCCTCCTTTGCCTTGTGCACCTCTAACTAAGCTACCCGCATCCAGACGATCTTGTGCATCTTGCTCATCATCATCATCCTCACTACTAGTAGCGCGGTCCATATCGACATCAGTCTCATCAGTTCCGTCCAAACCCTTGCCATTATTCGCAGCAGGTTTCTTCTTCTTTTGAAAATCTTGGATATGAGCATCGGCCAAAACTTTAGTAAAAGTTCTTTGTGGACGACGGCGTGCCGAACTGGTACTGGTTTGCTGTTGTGAGAGACCACTAGTATGAGTACGCTCTCTATCAAGTACCGATGATATCTCATTTGTTTCAGCAGGAGTAATAGGCTGAGAATCGGAAGATTCTCCGGACTCCAGATCATATGGCAATGCGACATCGCGAAATGCTTTGAAACGAGCGACGTTGGAGCAGTGTTCATTCTCGACACGAAATAATGTCCACATGCCTCTACGAGTGATTTCAGAAAATCCGACAAAAAAGGATACGGTACTGCTGTGCTGGAGGTCGTGCGTATATATCGAATAAAATATCCAATTGAATCGAAGGATTGGATCGACAATCATAGCTGCATAGTACCACCAGGTACTTTTGAATCCTCTAACATCGCGAAGAAGTGGTTTGTTAGCACCAGGTTGAAGCAGAGACCAATCCATCAAAAGATCCCAGGTACCTGTGTTTGATCAGTAAGAGATCTCGAATCATTAAAGACATAATACTCACTGACGTATATCGCATTCAATGTAGCAAAAAAGCTGAACACGATTAAATTCGTTCTGTCTCTATCTATTCTGTAGATGCTCAAAGTGACATAGTATACTATGGTCATAGCATATTTACCACCATTGACTATCATATTGATTAGCATAAGGATGTTTATGACGTTGAATTATCTGAAGTAATTGTTTACCTAAATGAGGGAACATATTTTTGGTATCACGATAACGTCGGAAGCATTGAAGTAAACGCCATATAGCTGGTAAGGTCGAAAAAAATCCAAGAAGACGAGAGTTTGTAGAATTACATTTCGTAGGATTGTGCCAGGACGTCGCATAAAGGCAGAAAAAGAGCTCTATATTCTGTTCAATGCGTGAGATTTGATCTATGATTCATTTGACGGAGAAACTTACACTCGTTAAATAGGTGAGGGAGCAATACATATCACCCAAGAAGAAATCTCTAAACTCTACGGGGTATAATCCAGCCAAAAGTAAGCGCCACTATTATAGGTGAGTACGAAATTTATGTAGTAAAATGATAATGAGAGACCTACATGAGAATAAACAAACCATTTCCGGCTTCTGTGAAAAATTATAGGGGCAGGCATAAATATTATCATGACTGTCACGAAAATCAAAATGATGGGATAGTATATAAACATTTCTGGTGTCCCATAGCCAGAGAAGTTGATCCACAAAAACAGTCCGAATAGAAGGATAAGAAATGCTGGAAATTCGCTAAGTTGCCGCCAATCCAGATCATGCCGAGGATCAAATTCAAAAACGAATTTGTAGTTAATTTTGTGTCGAGTCCAAACACTGCAATCGAAACAGAACAATGAAAATAAATATAAACCGAGAAAGTAACCACCGTATATTTGCAGCAGATAGCCGGTTTGAAATCGGATCGTGGGATCAGGGTGATCCAAGTATTCACTGCCGGAGATGATTCCCTGAATCGAAAAGACAGCACCAATTCCAATCAGCACCCCATTTCTGAATGCACTACCGGATTGGTCCATCGACTTTCCAACGGTTTTGCGCAATTTCCCAACAGCAATTTTATGATTACCCTTTTCAAAATATCGTGCGTACAAATCTTCAACCGTATGTATGTGCCCATCAAGTACATCGCTATTGACGAACCATGCCTTGCTAACCTTTTCCGTCATGAACCGAAGAGGGGGGTGCGCATTGGTTGCCTTGTCATATTTTTTGTTGATCTTACGAAACGCAGTCCGGTTCAAGAGCGCATAGGACTTTAGAAGTTCCATACCTCGGTAATGTTCTTGTAAAGCCAGCTTCAACTTTCGTTTCGCGGTTCGATAGGATACATCGTTTTCGTAAGGCCGTCTTACATAGTCGCGATTGCCGTTGGTTGCAACTCCATCGTTTGGATGAGACTTAAACTGCAACTCAGGTGAGTTTCTCATACTAGCTAATGCCCTAGAGTTGGCTCCTGGATGTGGCCCCAGTGCTGTTGCTTTTGCATTATCTACCATTCTCCCGAAAGGCGCCAGCCAAGCAATTCGATGTTCTTGAGAAGGATGCCCGTTGAGATCTTCATCTCCAGAATGATCACGAGAAATCCTTCCCATTACTGAACGCTCGTCATCTTTACGTATTGACCTCGCATGTTCTGCGTCTGCCACTTCTTGTATCCTGCGGTTTCGCATCTCATGCAACTGTTCTCTCAAGACTTGTAATCTGATTCCCGCCTCATCCTCCTTGGACCTGTAGAAAGTTTCGACCTTTTCAAGCTCCTTATCCATCCAAGAGAGAAATTCTTGCTGACGTATTCGGACATGATCAAAGGCAACCATATCGACGTCAGGACGACTGTGAGATTTAGATAAGGGAGTGCCGACTGAGAAGATTCGCTTCAGGATCGGCTGTCCATGAATATCATGGGATTCAGCGCGCGACCCGGGGGCCCTTAGTGAAGCAAACTTAGGTCTAGTCGGACTTTCTGTTGTACCTACTTCATATGCGCTCTGATAGGCTGATATAGGGTTCCTTTCTGGGGTTCTTGATGGTACTTCAATCTCCAAAGAATTTTTCCTACTTGTGACGGTGGACATTATGCACTCTGAGGATTCGAGGGGAGAGTCAGCTTGTATCGCTGGATCTGGAAGTTCGAAATTGTGCATGTCCATCGCAGGAGGAGTTGGCACAAAGCTGCCGTACATTCCATCATGTGCATGTTCTGTTGATACATGCCTGCTTGCGATTGGTATCGATGTAGCAGGGTTCGATGACGCCGTTTCCGCTCCAGTTCCGTGAGATGCCTCATCTTCCCTCCCAGAAGCTGATTGAGGTCGGTTGGTCGTACCATTAAACCTTCCAGACGGTTGAGGCTTTCTTGGGGCGAGAGGAGATGTAGCACCGTATATACTGTCACTTTGAGGATTCAGATTCGTTCGCGCATCTGATCGAGGGGTTGAATTTATACGATTGGTTGCACGAGCGACTGCTTTGACCTTCTTCTTGCCTTGCTTATAATCGAGATATTTTACTCGCCATTCTATACGATCATTAGGAGCAATTCGAGCTGAAAGATACGTAAATAGCAATGAATATCATACCAGGCACGAGGCTTTGCTCCAATTCCTTTGCAAACTTCATGGTGACTTGGGATCGATTTTGGTAGGACGAGTTCGTGGTTTTGCCGTGTGGATGAGATGTTCGACAAGATATATCTCCTTATGACTTTCTGTATCACCTTTCTACCAAAACAGATCTGAGATAATGCATAGTCAGTTTATCAGAAAAGTGTGTGACCATTACTGTGTTTGGCTCAGGGTTCTCAGTTGTTGGTTGATCAATTGAGGTTTTGGTATAACCCAAGAAATAAATTCAAGTGCTCGGGCAATTAAATAACAAGGTTCCAAGCATCAATTCTAGATCTGGATGTTCTTATCAGAGAAGTGGAGAATGATTTTGTTTATATCAATTCTGATTGGGTGACATTGGGAAATCATTCTGTATGGAGTGGAACAAGCCACTTTTAGCCACCTGTGGCCATCCTTAGTGGGAGCTATGCGTAACCGGTAAATGATGTATATACAGTATAAAATTCTTTACATGATGTAAACTTTTTTACATGCTTATTAAGCAATAATTTTTTTTATTAAATTTTTTTTTTTGATTTTTTTTTTCGAATATTGAATATTTTTTTATATTACTAGGCTATTTTATTCAAATCAATATTCCCTGTAGTATAGTGGTAGTATATATTGCCTCGATGAAAAAAAAAATTCAGTATTAACTTGATTAGGTAATTATCTAATAAGTTAATATTGGAGTTCCACATTTTTTAGATTTTCAAGCCTTTTCTATAGCTACGCCACACGATATTTTACATGGTGTATACACTATGTAAAAATATTTACATGATGTTAATATGGGACAAGGCGGTACACTATGTAAAACTATTTACATGGTATAAATATTTTACATGGTATACACATTATTTATATATCATATATCGGTTACGCATCTCACTCTGGACGAAAAAACGGGCACACCAAGCCCGCCAAAATCAAGACTTTCTTCAAAACACTATTAATTCAAAATTCAATAATAATTTGAAATAACAAAATAAAATAGATAACCTGAAGAGATATTATAACTTATAAGCTTCATTATAATATATTCCAATTTAAAA